TATATATATACATATATATACATATATACATATATATATATATATATATATATATATATATATATATATATATATATATATATATATATATATATATATATACGTACATAACATGTAATTTTATATACATATATATATACTGACTTCATAAAGTGTTGTTGGCCTGGTATCCTACACATAAATAAATAAAATACCTTTCATTCTTTCATTGCGTGTGTGTATGGAAGTATTTATAAAAGTAGGTACACTTAATTCCTTCAAGCTGAGTAAAAAATACACGTCTTTGGCTAAACTCCCTTTTCGAGCAATTCCACTTGACAATCATTCACACATACACATAATCGCCCATTCTTTTCATCGACAGGGTTATTATGATGACTGTTCAATGAACATATAACCATTATAATAATTATTTTCCTTTTTGAAAATTGAAAAGACCAAAATGATCGATCATATTCACAAAGCATCCGTAACTTTTGTGACGGCATCAAAATAAACAGGTGTCATGACACCTCGAGTTGCTACTGATCTAGCCTTTCCCTTCGTGACTCCTCGGGGCAGGACCCACTTGTGCCACAGGTACATGTTTTCCAATTTTGTGACTAACAAATATAGACAGGTAAAATGAAACATGTACTGCAGTTCGGACACATACTTTTAAGGTTCTAAGTGGCGGCCATTTTGATTGTTTACAATTGGGCCGCGAGGCGATGGGAACTCCCTCCAAATCTCGCCCTGTTCGCCACGCAGCGCTTCGTGAAACATCTTGTCTGATCGACCGTTTTGCCCGAGTGAACGCAGGCTGGACACGGCACATGACGTGGAATAAATTAACATGCTTTCACTGCGATCGCAATCTCGTGATATACGGGCCCGGATCGATTCCGAGTCGCCCGAGGTGCTTGCCGCGAGCTCTTGGCGCATTTTCGTCAAAAAGAAAGAAAGAAAGACACCTCGAGTTGCTACTGATCTAGCCTTTCCCTTGGTGACTCCTCAGGGCAAGACCCACTATTTTCAGATGTGGGCATTGATGAGAAACCAGAATTTTTATCAATAGGCCATATGATGGGGCAATATTAAAAGCCAGGAGGTGGCGCGTCTTCGTCTATCGGGAAAGCCATTAAGTGGCGTGTCGTAGTCAGCGATTTAACAGTATTATACAGACTAGAATTTAAAATGAAATGACCCCAAAATAAATTCAAATTACAAAAGGAAGTCTCTTACCATCATACTCCACGACGAATACTCTCCAGGTGGTCAAGATTTCTGAACTTCTGAAAAACAAGAAGGAATATCAGTGATGACAAAGAAAACAGTATCAATAATGATTAAAATCAATGTCAATACTTTGGACATCCTAATATGGCTAAATATATGAATAAAAATAACATGGACAGTAGTGCTACTAAAGCAACAGAAATAGTAATGTTTATGCTACTAAAACCGGCAATGATGATGGCTAAAAAAGTAATCATGGATTATTCATTCCAGTTATGAAATAATTACAGTACTTACAGAGATAATGATTTTCATAATCAACTGATTATAGTAACAAACAATACAAGCGTATTTGCTATTATAATGCCTGTATTGCTTACGACGATAATTAATCAAATTTATTTGTAATGGTGTTTGAGATTACAAGTAATACACATTCGTAAATCCATTATAAACAATGCTGAAAATAATTACTTTTCTAATGAAACCAGCTCTGAGACAATAAAGCAACTAATTCCAGGTTGACAGAGAAGGATGTGAGGAGGAAGGGAGGAAGTGGGGAAATGAGTATGTTGATATCTGGTAGAAGGGATGGCTCACGGTTGAAAACAGATGGACATGGGGGATACAAGTTCAGATAACTTCTATTTGATTATAAGTTTTCATGCACGGATTGTTACATTCAATATTGTTCTTACCGCAGGCTGACAAGGCTGGCGTTGTGAATTTTCAGCGGTCTTTAACCTTTTATTATCGCATGCGACGTAAAGTTGCATTCCTTAATTCTCACGGATTCTGAATTCGCATGAAGTACGTGAGATTTAGATCGCGAATGTTTGCTTTGTTTATCTTGAGATACTGACTTCGATATTAATTACCTTTTAATATTTACTATCCTTGTATTATTGTCAGTAATGTATCAACGTAATCCTGTTGATCGCCTGGATATTGGCGTTCCTCGCTCTCTTATTTATCTTGAGATTTAGATCGCGAATGTTTGCTTTGTTTATCTTGAGATACTGACTTCGATATTAATTACCTTTTAATATTTACTATCCTTGTATTATTGTCAGTAATGTATCAACGTAATCGTGTTTTGTTACTGGTTAATGGCATTTGTTTTTCTTTATAATTATTGTTTTAATAATTTTGTTTTGTATTATTTATCTTCCTATAGGGCTTGAAACGCGGTTGCGCTTATATGAGCTGTAAGACTCAAGGTATATGACAGTTATCTACGACAATATATTTAAATATTTAACAAAGATCGTGTGCACAAGGTTAAATTCTTCTTATGCCGTTTTCACATACATACTCCATGTGTTTACAGAAATGTAGATAATCATAACACGCACTGATACATACTTAAGTGACGTATGCCACACCTGTCCTCTACTTGCGCTCTTCTAAGTAATCCGAGTGTGAGACGATTCACTTTCACGAGAGCTGGACTTCAAAGAAATCAAATAAAAGTATTTACAATTACGTAAGACTATCTTAGGCATGGAACCTGAAAACTATAGACATTGTTCTCACACTCTGAGTAACAACCATAAATATGAACAACGTGGAGTAGTATTTCGTAGCAAGGGGCTGTTTAAAACATCCGTCTAAATTTGATAGAAAAATCATTAAAGTTATTTTTTTCCAACTGCCAAGAGAAAGTGAAACATACGTATTGCCCAAAAAATGACTTGTGCTTACACTGGCGAACAGCGGTAGCCTGGGATGCCATCATGTCAACAGTAAAATACTTATATATTATTGTTATGATACATTTATGGAAAGTAACAAAATAATAATAATAATAATAATAATAATAATAATAATAATAATAATAATAATAATAATAATAATAATAATAATAATAATAATAAGTGGAAACAAACTAATAGATGGCTGAGAGCAGTTACTTATGTATGGGAAAGACGCTAACATACGTTGTCATATCAGATCACATATTACTATTTCATTTAAGCATATGAACTCTACGAATAGTTTCAATACACTGTTGATACATGCATCACAGGTTGGGAACCCTTGGTCTGTATCAATCCCAAAATGATCACTTTTAGTACAGAAATAACGTATCTTAAAAACTGTATACTTTCTTTTTATACACAAAATGTCTGTACAAGTCAACACGTACCTTCTCTGAAGATCCACACCACTGGCAGCAGCAGATTTGAGCACAAACTATAGCTGATGATTGTTAAGAGAAAGAGCAAACGTATGTTCTGTACCTCAAGGTGAATGCAGTGGCTGGTCGCGGCAACGCGTACGGTACAGGAATCAAACGAGGTGAGTTGTACGTGTAAAACCATTGACTGTAGAGCTAGAGGAGAGGAGTACCTTACTGTACATAAAGAAAAGGAATATTCATTGTCGTCTTATTAATTTCAGTATTATATGCATAGTAAAAAAAAAAAAAAAAAAATATAAAAAAAAAAAAAAAATATATATATATATATATATATATATATATTATATATATATATATATATATATATATATATATATATATATATATATATATATATATATATATACATTTTAAGACAGAAAACGTACACAGACGAATCCTATGTAGAAAACGAAGGCACATGAAGCAACATTATTATCATTATTGCGGTTTCAACACTTTTCCTGAAAGAATAATAATAATGATTATGATAATAAAAGCAATAATTAAGATAAGTACAGCACAAATAATAATAAAAAATGGTAATCATGATGGTGATGATACTAAAATGGTAGTAAAACTACAATAATTGATGATAACAATAATAACAATGACAATAACGGCAATAATAATAAAAATGGTAATAATGATAACCATAATAATTATTATCAACTTTGTTGTTATTGGTCAGCTGACATTGATCGTCTAACAGGTAGGTTTGTGATGGGCCGTAAAACAAAGGTAAATGTCTACATTTATTAAAGACGAATGAAGCGGGATATAAAATGCAAACATAATAAAACAGCTAAGAAAGAAACATAAAATACAAGCACAAATAAACAGCCAAGAACGAGGCAGTAAAAATAATAAAACGCTAGAATTAAAACAAGAAGTAAAATAATAGCAAGGAACCGCTACATAAAATAAGATAATAATAATAAAAAAATCTAAGACAACATTAAATAACACAATAAGAAGCTAAGAAACGAGACAAAAAAAAAATAAAGTTAAGACGGTCCAGCAAAATAATGCAGATTTAATGATAATCGGATTGAGGTTAACCTATAGAACGCATATTTGTCTTTCTGTAGATCTAACTGTCTCGCTCACTACAATCTAATTTCTTCGAGATCTTTGATTGTTAACTGACAATATTTACTACGAGAGAGAAAAAAAAGAGAATCCTTATCAAAGCAAGCGTCAAACACTATCCTGGGTTTGTATAATACATGAAGTTCGTCACCAAAATGACTAATATATATATATATATATATATATATATATATATATATATATATATATATATATATATATATATATATATATATTATATTTTTTTTTTTTTTTTTTTTTTTTTTTTTTTTTTTTTTTTACGCGAAACTGGTTTTGATATGGAGTAGTCCTGTGCATTTCTAAGACGAAGCACGAATATGAAAATAAATATATATATGAATATGATATGAAATATGAGAATAAACATGATGTAATGATACTAGCAATAAAGTATCCGATACATCAAAATACGTTCGAATTCCATGACTGGATACCAGCGCTGAAAATAACGAAGCTGAGATACGTTATCATCTTCTCTTTCTCTCTTCTTGACTCATCACTTCGCCAGCAAACAGAGCAGAGGTAAGTCAGAATAAACAAAACAAAACAAAAAAGAAAAAATGCATTTAAGCTCAGACTGTTAAGTGCCTGTACATAAACTTGTGACTTTGTCCGTAAAATGCAAGGTCAAAAATAAGGAAGGAAAGGGGGATAGGGTAACACGCGATCAGGTTAACTTTGTTTCTCACTTGAACCGCGACCCTGAATTACTATCGTGACCTCTGCTTTACCTTAGTCGTTTCAGGTCAGACTAAATTACAAAATGCACGTGTTCAAGCAACAACTGATTTCATTATTTTTAGTTTTTTATAATGATTAATCAATTGACAGGGTTTAAGGGAAGCTACGTAAAAGTCAACACATCTCACGGCTTATCAGTTACTGATATACAATTAAATGTCAGACAGATAAGCCATTACCTGAACTTTCAACAAGTCAGCAATATAAATATAATAGTAATAATAATGAAAATAATGCTGATTATGAAAATGTTGCTCTAAAGCGTGTACATAGTCTTTATCAGTCCCTTCTTTTGCCTTCGTTTCTTGTCTTGCATATATTTTTTTCTTTTCTGTGTTTTTTACTATGTATATAGTACGGTCATATAGTGTCATTAATGAATGTTCCCTGTGTTTGTGTTTACAACAGGAGGGTACTCCTCTCCAGCTCGTAATGGGTTTGCAGGTGCTGTACAAAGCACTATTTCCGTTTGGTACCTGTACTGTACGTGTTGTGTTGCCTCGACTGGTCATTGCATTCCACTCGAGATACTGCACCAGTATTTTTTTGAGGGCCGAAGTGGTATGGTAGTCATTGTGGCTTATGATATATATGTTATATGTGGGCGGTGAGGACTGTGGTGATGTAGGTAATAGGGAAGTAAGTGTTGGTGTGGCAAACAGATATACAAGCAAATATAAGAATCTATCCTTATGAATTTCTCATCGCATGCAACGTAAATTCTCACGGATTCTGAATTCGCATGAAGTACGTGAGATTTAGGTCGCGAACGTTTGCTGTGTTTATTATTTGAAATATTAGCTATATATTATCCTTGTATTAATGTTAGTAATGTTATATCTACGTTTATAACAACAGTGTTTTGTACTTGGTGGAGGATAGGTTTATTGTTTTTATTATTATCGTTGTAATGGTTATTGTTATTCATTATTTCTATTGATATTTTTTTGGTTAGGGCTGGAAGCGCGGTTGCGCCTATATGTAGGCTGTAGAATTAGCATAAGAAACAACTACGACAATATAACGTTGTCCCAGCTCATGCCAATGATTTTCATAACTATTAATACTAATTTCTTTGAGCCATCATGAATATTCCTTCTTGTTTTTCAGAAGTACAGAAATCTTGACCACCTGGAGAGTATTCGCCGTGAAGCATCATGGTAAGAGACAAGCTTATGTAACTGGATATTTTATTTTCGATTCTTAAAATTCTGTGCAAGAATTTCCTCCAACGATTCGTGTCGAAGTACTTCAGGGCAACATATCCTATAGCATAAACTGAGAAAAAAAGTCTTACGAATATCAACTGAGGATGTTTCGCGTTCTTGCATTTGCAATATACTCTCTTGAAAGTGCTGACTGCACTGCCAGGCATAAGGCGAGCAAGGGAAAAACTAACACCTCATTCCGCACAGCACGCCGAGGTATTAACAATACCAGAGCAGAATAAATGACGGCTACAGACATGTCCCGAAATTCTCTCTCTTCTCTCTCTCCCCCCCCTCCCTCTCTCTCTTCTCTCCTTCTTATAGCAGACCAGTTCTCTCTCGTCTCCCTCCCCCCCTCTCTCTCTCGTCCCCAACCCCCCCCTCTCTCTGTCTCTTTTTTCTCATCCTTTTCTCTTTCTCTCGTTCTCTCCCCTCTCTTTCTGTCTCTCATCCCCTTTCTCTCTATGTCTCTCATCCCCCTTCTCTCTACCTCTTTCTCTCTGTGTCTCTCATCTCCCATCTCTCTATCTCTTTGTGTGTCTCTTATCCCCCTTCTTTCTATCTCTTTCTTTCTGTGCTTCTCATTCCCCTTCTCTCTGTTTCTTTCATCCCTCTTCTATCTCATTCTATCTATCTCTCATCTCCCCTCTCTCTTATTTCGTTCTCTGTCTCTCATTCCCCTTCTCTCTTTCTCTTTCTCTCTGTGTCTCTCATCCCTCCTCTCTCTCTCATCCCCCTCTCTCTATTTTTTTTCTCTCTCTGTCTCTCATCCCCCTTCTCTCTTTCTCTTTCTCTCTCACCCTCTCCCTGGTTGTGTCATTTTTACGCATCGTCTGATTTCAGTGACGGCATAGAATTTGTTGTTTATAAACCGTTTGGTAACTGGAGCAACACATAATTGGTGTTTATATCTATCTAATGTCATAGTTTTTTTTAGTTTCCTAGCTATGAAAAATCACACGGCTTTAGATGATGTAATTTTCTTGTAATACAAAAATAATTATTTTGACCTAAATGTATTTTTTTTTTTCTACAGGCGAGCATGTCCACTGCAGTTTGTCAAGTATGCTTTTCATGTTATGACAGTGAAGCCAAGCGGCCGAGGATATTGCCCTGTGGCCATACTTTTTGCTCCCAATGTTTGCTGAATATCACAGAAAGAAATGATGGATTGATCGCATGTCCTCTCTGTAAAAGAGAGACTAAAGTCACAGACATATCACAGTTAACAACAAATTTTAGCATCCTAGATTTGACATCACAGGATGACCAGGAGGAAGGAGCTCAACTCCCATCGAAAGCATCGGCCAAAGCTGAGCAGGGACCTCCACTTTCCGCTGGGTTTTGTGAGGATCATGGGCAGCACCAATTGTTTAAGTGCAAGTCGTGTGACGAATGGATCTGCCATGTTTGCACTGTCATTGAGCATCCTATAAGTACATGCAATGTTATCTCAGTCAAAAAGGCCTTGGAGGAAACGAGGAACAATATAAATGCAGAAGTTGAGCAATTCATACTGGAACATAACCAAACATTTGACCGTATAGGAGTGTACGACAAAGAATTGCAGACCCTGGAGAAGGAATACAAAAAAAAGTCATTGGAACTGGAACATGTTGTGGAGCAATACAAGCAGGCAGAGCAAAGTGTGGCTGGAGAACTTATCAAGCTAAAGGAAGCACAGGAAGAAGGCTTGTCCAAACTTCAGGATCTCAAAGAATTACAAATTCGTGTTTCGAAACTTTCTAGAATCCAAGACACTGACGATTGCAGCCAAGCGGTTTCTCAGTGCAAGGAATCTGTTCAGACATGGACGCAAGATATACTGCATATGACAAGTGGCCAGAATATGTTAATCAAGTCTCAGGTAAATCAGTGAAAACACTTTTTCATAGGAAACGTGACATTTAACTCATTAGGAAGTCTTATATGAAGCATTAGATATGAATGTAGAATAAGAATGAAATTAATTAAAATATTTACTAGATTTTTAGATTTCAGGCCAGTAACATTGCAGCAGATGGTGACTTCACTCAAATATTGTAAAGTATAAGCAGTGACGCTTTTAAAAGTCTAGATTACTATTGTCTATGTCATTATGTCCCAGATAGAGCACAGATTACTGCCTCCTGAGCACCTAGTAGTTATCAGTAAATCAATTTAGTAATGGTTTTCTGTAACTGATAACTTACGGTTATGTATATGGAAAAATAGTATGTCAGTAATATAGCTAGCAGGTGTTTTTCAGATGCATAACTTGGTGAACTTCTCAATGGAGTTGATGAACTGGAACACGTTGAAGAATCTGGAATTTAGTCAGCTCCAGGCCATTACTGACTCTGCCAGCGAATCTGTGAGTGCGAGAAGAGTGAATTATATTAACGTCACTGTGACAAACATTGTTTTAAACGTGTGACTGATAATTTTCATTACATATTTTCCTAGCGCAAGAACCTTTCATAGCATATCATTATATTGCAGATCATGGTATCACTGATCACTCTCACAAAGCCATTGATTGTGATAAAGAAGGACAACCAGGCCTTTTGTGCCAGTGTGACCCTCCAAGTTAACAACACAGCCATGGTGGGAGAGTTGTGCCCATTCATACCCAGTTCTTCCACAACCAGCATTGATTTCACGGTAGATCATTAGTGCGTTTGACTTGCATGAATTTTAGAATAGTAATTGCTCTTTTTTTGTGCTTCTAGCCAAGCACTTGCAATATATGGTTTTAGATTTGACAAATTATGGGACTAAAATAAGATATATCATGCTACAAGATTTAATTACACTTCCGCTCTCTCTTTGCCATTCTTTCTCGAACATGAAATTGAAGGACCTGATGAAGAAAATACCTGAAGCATATGTGCGAGGGCAAAAGACCTATTACCGCATTGAAAAACATGAAAACGAGGACCTTTTCACAATGGTGCCGATGAACGACGACTCGATGCCTACGGATCGCCTTCACCTCTTGATTCCGGTTAGTAGGATGAGATACTTTGTGCTTGATTTGTCTGTTATCGGGTAATCGAGAGTGATGTTTGAATTTGTTGTCTTGTGTAAGACGCATGTCGGTCAGATTTTATCACTCAAACAGTATCACTTCTGTCCTACCAATATCAGCGCAGGTATTGTTTCTGAAGGAATTAGTCAAATTAAATAAAAAATTCACAGATTAATTTTATACTTACCTAAATGAGGTGAACATTAAAATTTAACCCTCTAAGCCTGTACAGTTTGTGGTGAAGAGATAGCTCTCATAAAAGCAACGAAAATATAGCTCAATCATATAAGGTAGGTGTAAGCCTACCCCTGGCTCTTTAAAAGGGTATTCCGAAGCCACCCGCCACAGTATAGTGTCCTTCCGAGACAATCGTTCTCATGGGGAAGCGGAGCTCCCTCTCTTCTCTTCATAGAAACTTGACCTGCCAAATAGACCATTCACCTTTCCTATTTGCATTTCATCTGTCGACACCATGGCCATATTACAGTATTCTGAGTGCCTGTCACGGACAAATTATCACTTGTCTATAGTCAAAATTAGCACAACTCGGTCTGGGTGGATGAACATACCCACTTCGCAGAATAGAATGGGAATCCAAAAGTGTGTCGTAAGATCCCATTTTGAGGGATGGGGCTACTAGTGTTGTGGGAACCACGTTGCTTCCTAATTAGCAGTTGACCTACCTTATTCGCAACTTGGTGGGGAACATCCAAAATAGGTAGACTGCGGATATAAGGAAGTTGTGGACAAGGGAAGTTTGTATATTAATGGTTCAGTGGGTAAGATGTGTGGTGTTAGGTCTCAATGAGTCGTGAGATGTGCTTGCTGTCTAGGCCGTTGAACTTGTATGACCCAACTTGGTTATTATGTGATGTTTACAGGTCAAGGGCCAGGAGTACTAAATTACTCCTCTAGTGAGTCATATGAGCAAGTGATTCACAAAATATTCCTGTCACTCTAAGGTCATCAGTATTATCCTTAAAGTATCCCCTTTTAGGTTACAAGTGTTTTGTGAGATCCCATTGTGAGCTCCGACAGGTCTTGCTGGCTGCTCACTGTAGTGTCCAAATTCTCCAATTCCAGATACTGAGTAGGCCATGCATGTCCCAAGAAATCGGGGACTGGTCAGTACCGATTCCTGAGCAAGAGGTGATCTATGAGATATGCCTTCTGTCAATCAATTAGTGAAAAGCTGTTGGAATTGGAATGCCCTGACACAGTTAATGTGCAATATATTTTGCTGTGAATGGAAGATGAATTATTTGGAGATTTTTTATCTGGTCTCTGTATATTCAGTTACTTAAATTGCATTTAACTTTTTGACTAATCAAGAAAATTTCCAAAATTCATCTTCACTTTCTCCAATTATCCAACACTAATCCTCCCTCCCTGTCTCCTGTCACCCTCCCTCTCTCTCTCTAAAAGGTATTGACCTCCTATATGGATACTGGTGGGCAGAAGTGATATTGGTTAAATGGCTTCACATTTATTGATAAAAGTGATGACACAAGTTGAAAAGAATACGATAGGAGACGTGGTGCTGGAGATACCCGCAGCCTCAAACCCTAGCAAGGGCGCAGCAGGTTAACTAGCAGTGAATGAATGTGAGACTTGGTCAAGCTGGGTCGTCCTTAAATCTGACCCCGGCGGGCACAAGCAGTGGTTGCTATGTGGAATGTATATTTAGCTCGACCTACGAAGGAGCAGCATGGCACACAAGTGTGCGACCCATGCTTTTACAAGCGTGGTCTGTGAGCTATCACTGATGCATTATGTTATGCAGTATGCTATACTCTCTCTTTCTCCCTTCCCTCTCTCTCTCTATTACTGGAGGAGTAATTTAGTAATCTTGGCCCTTGACCAGTACATATTACACAATAACCATGTTGGATCACACAAGTTCAACGACCTAGACTGTAAGCACATCTCACTTCTCATTGACACCTATGTCCTCTCCCCCTCCATCTTTCTCTTCTTTCTCTCTCCTATCACCAACTCTCTCTCCTCTCCTCACCTCTCTCTCTCCCCCCCTCTCCCTCATTATACAATTTCCCCCATTACCCTGTTTCTCACTTGTCCCCCTTTTCCATTTATATTTTACCCATAAAATCCTTTACTGTGTCCGTTCAGATGAATACCCTCATACAAGCCGGGGTTGTATGGGTCCCGATCACCAAAGAGCGCTTCGGACATCTGACCAAGAGGCAGGAGGACCCAGAGTGCGCAGGAGGAGCAACAGCGAAGTATGGGTACCAGCTTCACGCCTCTGTGGATCATCTTCCCCCAGGCGAATCCTTCATCTTCAAAGTAAGTTCTGTCACTGAATATACTTCGGTGTTATAATGAAGAATGTGAGTAGAACAAATAGATAGGATTTTGAAAATCTGTGTATATTCTTTGGATTTTTATCCTAGAAAGGATAAATGTGCAAATTGTCATTTTCCCTGTGGCTCTTCTAATGAATCGGTGGTCTTCTAATGAACAAGTCATTGCCATTTGGCTCCTTCGGTTAGCATTCTGCTGCTCGAAGTTCCCTTGCTGACAAATCCTTAATTGACCTGGCCACTATTTGCAGCTCGGCTCTAAATTTCTTGCTGACGGATCCTCAAAGGACTGGACCATCATCTGAAGCTGCACTGATGAATATTTAATTCCAGGAAGGTTCCTTGGTGTTGGGTTCTCAAGCAAGGGTATTATCAGTGACTGCAACTCTAATGAATGTTCCATTCCTGAAATATCCCTTGTAAGTGGATATTCAAGCGACAGAGTCATCACTGGAAACTCCTTAGGGGACTGTCCCATTCATGGAATTTTATTTGTGGCTTCTCAAGTGACTGGATCATTGCTAGAAGCTCTGTAGGTGAACATTACATTGCTGGTATATCTCTTGTTGTTGAATCTTCAGGCAATTATGCCATTATTCTACGCTCCATAGATGAACACTCCAATCTTGGAATTTTCTTTGCTGGCAGCTCTTAAGGTGAATGTGCCACTATTGAAAGGTTTCTCGGTTTTAGTTCCTTAGAAG